AGCGAACTGGAGGCCGTAGAAAGCTGGGAGAGGTCTCATTTTAAAGGTCTGGGCATGAAATTTTGGGGAAAAATGTTCATTTTTCTTAATTATGCAACAAAAGGTTATTACAGAATAAAATAATTCACATTTAAATAGCATGGGAATCTAGGTCATGTCTGCTTTGTTTACTTAAACATGTGGTTTAACTTTATTTAAAGCATATGGTAATATCATTGACTATTGGCTACAGAAGTTGTATTAATAGTCAAAGGTAGTATGTAATATGTACTGTAATAAGTAAACTATTATAATAAAGCTGAAATAGAATATTCCCAATTTTATGTCTTTTAGTGTAAAAACAGCTGTGATTATATAAATTGAAAGAATTATAACCACACCTCAATGTGTATTATTTTGTTATTGTAAAAATGTTAGTGAAGTAGTAAACAACACAAAGTGAAAATTAGGCTATGTCAAATCTTTTAAACATACAATTTGACACTTTTAAACTTTGTATTATTTTGTTATTGTAAAAATGTTAGTGAAGTAGTAAACAACACAATGTGAAAATTAGGCTAGATCAAATCTTTTAAACAAACAATTTGACACTTTTAAACTTAACACTTTTTAATATATTAATAATGTATAATGTTGGAAGACTACCACGCAGGGGTAGGCCGCCACGCAGAGGTATTGTTCCTCGAAATGAGAACAACAGGCGCCAGATTTGGCGCGATATAAATGGAAGAAGAATAAATGAGCATCCGGATGAACATGAAGTTATTCCTGTGTATAGATTACCACTTTTAAATGAAATTGCATTGCACAGCTTAGGACCAATGAACGATGAGTGCATTCATTGTGGTGCATTGCACTTCATTGATGAATTGACAAGTGGACACTACAACTCTTGCTGCCACAATGGCCTAATACACCTACCACAGCCTCAAAATAACAATGAGCTGCAAGAACTATTTAATAATGCCCATTTTATGAAAAATATAAGACAGTACAATAGCGCTATGGCATTTGCATCTCTTTCGGCAACAAAAAAAGAAGTACCAGGTAACGGACCATATTGTTTTAAGGTACAGGGGCAAATTCACCGTTATATTTCAGACTTATTACCAATTGAACAAACCCCTTCATATGGACAATTATATTTCTTGGATACTGCATTTGCAAACAATATTAGACTACAAAGACCTGAAAATAGTGAACTCAAATTGGAAATAGTGACACGATTATCGGACATATTGTCAGATAACCCTTATTCACAATCCTATAAAAAAGCTTCCGAAATTATGACAAATGAAGGCAATCAAAGCATCGCATTAAGGTTTGTAGATAACATTTCTATGGATCTGAGGCGATTCAACAAACCCACCGCAGATGAAATCGCCGGAGTGTTCAATTCTGAAGAAGGTGAACCCCCGCACAATCGCCATGTAGTAATATATAACCGCCAAAGCGGGCCTAAGCTTTTATCAGTATTGAGCCCACATTGTGACCCAATGCTATATCCACTATTGTTTCCAAATGGAGAACCCGGATGGGACCCACAAATGACTCACAATGGGCAACGAAGACAAAGAATGCGTGAAAAACTGACTATGCTACAATTTGCATGCTATAGACTTGCTGTTCGGGTAGGATTTTCAAATATCCATGCTGCAAAAAAATTATTTCAACAATATATTGTCGATTTGTACACAAGAGTTGAAAGTGATAGACTCAATTATGTAAGACACCACCAATCACAGCTCAGAGTTGAACATTACCGTGGATTGCAAAATTTTGTGTTGAACAGAGCACAGTTAGAAAATGTAACTGCGGGTAAAATTGTTGTCTTGCCATCATCATTTGAAGGAAGTCCGCGTAACATGACTCAGCGATATCAAGATGCAATGGCTATCGTGCAGAAATACGGTAAGCCAGATTTGTTTATAACAATGACATGCAACCCTAATTGGACAGAAATACTCTCTTCACTTAAAGACAATGAAACTCCAGCTGATCGCCCAGATATTGTTTCCAGAGTATTCAGATGCAAACTGAATGAATTGAAAAAGGATCTACTAAAGAACAACGTCTTTGGAAATGTCATTGCTTATGTGTATGTAATAGAATTCCAGAAACGTGGCTTACCCCATTGCCATATGCTTATAATTCTGGACGAAGAATCCAAATTTCGTGAACCAGCACAAATAGACCAATGTGTCTATGCAGAGATACCTAATCCCAATGAGTTTCCAAGGCTTCATGACATTGTAGTTCGTAACATGATTCATGGACCATGCGGAGTGCGAAATCTCAATGCACCTTGCATGAAGGATGGAAAATGTTCAAAAAAATATCCTAAAGAGTTCTTGGATGAAACAGTTGAGAACAACCATGGGTATCCACTTTATCGTCGACAAAACAATGCTATCACAGCCCAAAAGGGGGTTCACCAGGTTGATAGTAGAGATGTTGTGCCATATAATCCGTATCTATTGATGAAATATAACGCTCACATAACGTTGAAGTTTGCTCGAGTGTCCGATCAGTAAAATACTTATTTAAATATGTATATAAAGGATATGACTCAGCTTGCTTAGAATTTGTAAATAGTGTACAGAATGATATGATGAACTTTGATGAAACAATCCGCTTTGCCAATATGCGGTATGTTAGTTCTCATGAGGGTATTTGGCGCCTACACTCAAATGAAATGCATGAACAATCTTGTTATGGATTGTTTGAGAATTGAATTTATAGTTGCGTAATTTAATTAGTGGACTGTATTGTATTATGACGTTTGAATAAATTGAGCAGTAAAATGACACATCTGAAACTTGAAAGCAAATAATTAATGAAGTCTTATCTAATAGTAAAATTGAAGTATCACTCACGACCGATCCTTTCTTCTCTGTACGAAGCGTGGTCGGCGGCCTGGAGTGTGGTTGTAGAATTCTCAGGGGCCCCTTGGTCCAGCGAAGATCATCCTGCCGTAGTGGGGTTGTGGATAACGTCGTTCACGGACACAAAGAGAATCCCGGAGGCGAGACACGATAATTATTTAATTTAAAACCGATCACGGTATAAGAAAGTTCAAGGCACAAACTGGTGCGTGATAAGCGGTAGCGGGCGGGAATGTAGATTGACATTGACATGAAGAAGAGATAAGTGGAAAAAGGAGTAGGTAATGCTACGTCACTGGCAGGATTGCCAACTAGGAAAAGAGGAATGACTAGTAATGAGTCTGTGTTTATGTATGTATGCCAAAATGGGCTGAACTTTAATTAAACTTGATTTTGTCCTTTTTTATTTATTATTATTTACACAACATACCGGCCCCCCTTGAACCGGCAGGTTCAACAGAACATCTTCAAAAGAAAAAAGAAAAAGAGAAACTTGTGCTCCTGCACACTAAATAAGAGTTTTTCTGGTTAAAATCAAACAAAAAACACTTTAAATAAAACAGGGGGTATGAGAATTGAAGGATGTAGATCTTGATGTCTTCATTCCGATGGTAATAGGGAGAGTTTGATGACTGGTCGTTTGAAGACTCCAGAGGCTGTTTTTACTTCGGCAACTCTGGGAACATTGTCCTTTCCAGGGAATAAGGAAATAACTCTGCCCATTTTCCATTGGAGTGGAGGGAGATTATCTTCTTGAAGAATGACAAGATCGCCAGGGCTGATGTGCTTCTGGGGAGTTGTCCATTTTAGGCGATTCTGTAAGGTATACAAATAATCGCGTTGCCATCGTTTCCAGATATTTTGTGCAACGGATTGAACCAATTGCCATCTCTTGAGACGGTTCATAGGAGTACTTGTCTGATCTGTTTCAGGTAAAAGAGCAGGAGGTCCAAAAGTCAAGAAATGACCTGGTGTTAGAGCTTCTAATTCACATGGATCTGATGACAGTGGGGTAATTGGGCGTGAATTTAGCATTGCTTCAACTCTACATGTTAAAGTAGTGAATTCTTCAAGTGTAAGAACTTGCTCACCTACGACTCTACGTAGGTGATATTTAGCGCTTTGTACGGCACGCTCCCAAAGTCCTCCAAAATGGGGAGACCTAGGGGGAATGTAGATTGACATTGACATGAAGAAGAGATAAGAGGAAAAAGGAGTAGGTAATGCTACGTCACTGGCAGGATTGCCAACTAGGAAAAGAGGAATGACTAGTAATGAGTCTGTGTTTATGTATGTATGCCAAAATGGGCTGAACTTTAATTAAACTTGATTTTGTCCTTTTTTATTTATTATTATTTACACAACATACCGGCCCCCCCTGCACACTAAATAAGAGTTTTTCTGGTTAAAATCAAACAAAAAACACTTTAAATAAAACAGGGGGTATGAGAATTGAAGGATGTAGATCTTGATGTCTTCATTCCGATGGTAATAGGGAGAGTTTGATGACTGGTCGTTTGAAGACTCCAGAGGCTGTTTTTACTTCGGCAACTCTGGGAACATTGTCCTTTCCAGGGAATAAGGAAATAACTCTGCCCATTTTCCATTGGAGTGGAGGGAGATTATCTTCTTGAAGAATGACAAGATCGCCAGGGCTGATGTGCTTCTGGGGAGTTGTCCATTTTGGGCGATTCTGTAAGGTATACAAATAATCGCGTTGCCATCGTTTCCAGATATTTTGTGCAACGGATTGAACCAATTGCCATCTCTTGAGACGGTTCATAGGAGTACTTGTCTGATCTGTTTCAGGTAAAAGAGCAGGAGGTCCAAAAGTCAAGAAATGACCTGGTGTTAGAGCTTCTAATTCACATGGATCTGATGACAGTGGGGTAATTGGGCGTGAATTTAGCATTGCTTGAACTCTACATGTTAAAGTAGTGAATTCTTCAAGTGTAAGAACTTGCTCACCTATGACTCTACGTAGGTGATATTTAGCGCTTTGTACGGCACGCTCCCAAAGTCCTCCAAAATGGGGAGACCTAGGGGGAATGAAGTGAAAGGTGATTTCTTTCTCAAGAAGCCAAGTGTTGACAGGATGGGATTGCAGAATAATCTCTATCGTTTTCCGGAGTTGTCGAGCAGCACCGACAAAATTTGTACTAGTCCTCGACGGGAAATGAACCGAGTCAATGAGGCCAAAAAAGCATCGGCTGTCAAATCTGTCACAACTTCTAGGTGGATGGCCTTTGTTGTCATGCAAATGAAAAGGCAGAGGTAGACTTTGATGTGTTGTAATCTGCGAACAGGGTAAAGCTTGACGTTGAAGGGACCTGCGAAGTCGACAGCTGAAGATTCAAAGGCTCTTGAAGGTAGAACTCTGGATGCGGGTAGGTCAGCCATTAGGGGCGCAGTGACCTTCGGTTTGATGCGGTAGCACCGTAGACAGCGGAAAATTCTGTTCCTTATCTTGCTTCTTGCGGATAAAATCCAATACCTTTGAGAGATGAGGGATTGTAGTGATTGAGGTCCACAATGCAGGAAGAGAATGTGGTAGTAGTCTATGATCAGATTTGTGACGAAGTGCTGTTTAGGCAACAGTATAGGATGCTTGGAGTTGAAGTTTAAATAGGCATTAGACAGTCGTCCACCAACTCTGAGAAGACCATCTTTGTCCAGGAATGGCAAAAGACGCTGAAGAGGTAATGAAGGAGTCTGGCCTTTTTGAAGAGCAGAAATTTCGTTTGAGAAGGATTCTTGTTGTACTAGATGTAGAATGTAAACTGTAGCTTTGTTGATTTCTTGCAGTGAAAGTCTTGAAGAAGTAGTTAATGGAACATCTTGTAGAGTAGACGATTCTGGCTTGAAATATTTCAAGGAGATCTTAGTTCGGCAGCGGTTGATGAAGCGTAGAACATATGCAGTTACATGTCTCAGCTTTTTCCATGAAGAAAATCTTGTAAGAAGTTCCAACTGAGGTAATGTTGTAGTTTGCAGTGCAGTTGGTTGCACAGGTTTTATATCTGGAAGTGAATGTGAACATGACAACTTGAATGATGTAGTGGGCCAGAGTGATTGAGAGAGCTTGAGCCAGTCAGGTCCTGTCCACCAAAGTGGGTGGTTGGCCAATAGCGAAGGGAGGAGTCCTCTAGATCCACAATCAGCTGGGTTCTGTTCTGAGGTGATGTGAGACCACACAATTGGGGTAGAAGTTTCTTGAATTTCTGCCACACGATTGGAGACAAAGGTTTTGAGGCGATAGGCAGGAGTATGTATCCATGATAAAGTGATAGTTGAGTCACTCCAAACGAACACTTCATTGATCGTTAAGTATGTACTAAGACAAGAGACACAATATTGGATTAGTTTGGAGAGGAGATGAGCTCCACAAAGTTCCAAGCGTGGTAGAGATAAACGCTTTAGCGGTGCAACACGAGACTTTGCTATCAACAAATTGGTTGTAACTCCGTGGTCCTCCTTTTCAACTCTAAGAATCACTGAGGCGCAATATCCTGATTCGCTAGCATCACAAAAACCATGAATTTGGATATTTTTTGCTTGGTAAGTATCTACATGCCTAGGTATTTGTATCTCTGCAATCGAGGGTAGCTCCCTCAGAAATGAAATCCACTGTGAAGATAATTCACTTGGTAATGGATCATCCCATTTCAATCCTTTAGTCCATAAGACTTGCATGAAAGCTTTAGCCCAAAACAAAGGTGGAGTGATCCAACCCATTGGATCAAATAGTTGAGCGATAGCAGAAAGAACTGCTCTTTTGGTTAGCGGTAGATTTGGAATTGTAACAGTGTACGAAAATGAATCAATTTCTGGAAGCCATTTTATGCCTAAAACATTGCATGATGATTCTTTCTCTGAAAAGAACTGTAGAGGTACGCCATGGTGATCTGATGGTATTGCATTTAGTATGTTCTGACAGTTAGAAATCCATTTTCTGAGTTGAAAGCCACCTTTAGACATTAACCTAATTACATCATCCTGCAACGCTAGAGCCTCTTCTTCGGTATTTGCTCCAAGTAAAGCATCATCGACATAGATTTGACTACGAAGAGCATTGGCTGCTAGAGGGTGGTTTGAACTTTCATCAGCGATAAGCTGTTGCACGACCCGATTTGCCAAAAAAGGCGAAGAAGCCATGCCATATGTGACAGTAGTAAGCTTGTATACTTGTATAGGCTGTGATACATCATATCGCCAGTAAATCAATTGGAAATTACGATCCTCTGGATGAATCCAAATATTTCTAAACATTTGACGAATGTCACATGTAAACACAATGCGGTGTTGGCGGAAGCCCATGATGATGGCAGGAATGTCGTTGTGTAGTTTTGGTCCAGAGTGAAGAATATGATTTAGTGACAGACCAGAGGAGGTAGCAGCAGAAGCATTAAAAACTACACGAATTTTTTTCTCCTCGGAGAACTTCATGATGAGGGAGAAAGAAATGTGGTTGTTCCAATGCAATAGGTGATGAACAACGTACCATGTGACCTGATTCTTCATAATCTTTCATAAAATCTACATATTTCTTCCTTAATTCGGGGTTGCGGTTTAGTCGATTTTCCAATGATTTGAAAATGCAAAGGGCAGAAGAAGAAGAATTCCCAAGAACTGAAGGAGATTGCTTGAATGGTAGACGTACTTGAAATTTTCCATCTTTACACCTGCTATAACCTTTTCTAAACTGGGTTTCACAATTCAGTTCATCTGGAGAAAGTGATGGTGCATCAGGCACATTTTCTTGAAGCCAAAACTTCTGAATTGACTGGTGAAGATCAGTATTTGTAATTGTCAGTAGATTAATTGATGAAAAGCCTTCTACAGGTTCGACAGGTGTATTGCCGATCAATACGTAGCCAAAGACTGTATTCAGTGCAGTTGGCATATCGTCACCAAGAGGGATTGCATCACCCTTTAGCGTACTGGCAAAGAGATCAGCGCCAATTAGTAAGTCGACAGGAGCGGGCGTATCAAAAGTAGGATCAGCAAGAACCAGGTTGAATGTACGATCCTTAACCTCTCTTGATATGTGGCAACCAGGTAGGTTAGTAGTTATGTTATCGAGTACAACAACTGGATGATTTTTCGCAACTACGTGGCCTCTCATTGAAGTAATGTTCAAAAAACAGAGTCCTTTAGTGGAGACAGTAGCAGATGATATTCCTAGAATTTTGTGACTTGATGATTTTACTCGAGAAATTCCTAATCTGCGTGCACATGAATCACTGAGAAAACTTTGTTGAGCAGCGCTATCGAGCACAGCGCGTGCGACAATATTATTTCCATTGGGAGTGCATACATTTACTAGGGCTGTTCCTAGTAGAACTACATTGTTACTGCAATGAGATAAACCTACTAAGACCGTAGCATTTGATGTAGAGTCCTTAGTTGCAGAGGTATTGCTCTGTGTGGGTTCAGAAGGGGCATTGCTAGCAGCAGAATTAGGTTTTGATCCATCAGAGGTATGTTTACGAGGATTATTCCTTGATTGATATTGTTTAGAACTGTTGAGACATTGGTTAGAGGGTTGATGGTTGCTTTGTGCATTCAAATGAAGCATAGTATGATGTCGACGTTGACATATATTACAAGATCGAAGAGAGTTGCAAGTTCTGACATTATGTTGACCCAAACAATTATTACACAATAAGTTGCTTTGTACAAACTTTAGTCTATCTGCTGGGGTTAAATTAGAAAATCTATAGCATTTGTATATGACATGATCACACGAAGAGCAGAAGTTACAATTATTTTGCGCAGTCAGTAGGGCAGTGCGGTTTTGGTAAGATCCACGAGTAGACTTGAATGCTACTTGATTACTCGAAGAACTCCTTTGCATACTGGCGTTGGTTAAGATTCTTGAAGGTACAAGTGAGAGATTAGCTGCCTCTAGTTGATTGCATTGGGTTTCAATAAAATCAATGAGTTCCTTGATGGTTGGTACCTGTTGTGAATCAGTCCTATCATGTTCAAACTTGGATCTGAAATCATTATCAAATTTCCTGAGGAGATATATAGTCATAAATATGCTCTCATCTTTGAGGTCCTCGTTTAAGGCACGCAAGGCACTAATGTTTTCCTGTAGGGATGACACAAATGATCTCATTTGTTTTACAGAGCTATTATGTACAGAAGGCAAATCAATGATATTATTTATGTGAAGTGTTATCAATAGCCTAGAATTGTTGTAGCGCTTAATCAGTTACTGATAACCAATATGATAATTGGCAGCAGTAATGGGCAATGATTTAATCAAATTTAATGGCTCTCCATGTAGACAAGACAGTAAGTAGGTAAATTTCTCGACATCCGAGAGTTTAGAGTTTTTGTGAACAGTGCTTTCAAATAAGCTATAAAAAGCTATCCATTTGTCAGCTTGGCCAGAGAATTCACCTAGCTTAAGAGTAGGGAGTTTTACACCTGTAAATTCTACTGTACCGCTGTTGACACTGGAATAAGATTGGTCCAGTCTGGGATCCGCTTTGGGAACAAGAATCGCACAGAGGCTGTGGATTTTAATATAAAGATCAGAGATTTCATCTTGGAGTTTAACAACATCAGCATCCTTAATATCTTCATCTGGTTTATCAGCACTATATAATTTACTAACCATTGACTCAAAATCATTACATTTCTTTGTAGCAGTTTCATCAATAATTTTGATTTTTGCTAAATCCGCTTCGAGTAGAGGATCCGTCTTCTCTGAGAATGCAGTAACTTGTTGTTCAAAAGAATTCAACCTTAGTTTTATCAGAGAAGCTTGCTTGGTAAAATTACAAAAGCGCAATGGAGGCATTTTGTTTGCATAAATATTACAAGGCAAATAGTATGGACACTAGGTGCATAAAATTGAAGTTAGCGGTAGGCCACAAAAGATTGTGTAAAGCATGTTCTCACTATCCCAAACTCCAATAATTGTAGGACTAATAATTGTAGAAATACCACAGAGAAATTAATTAGCCTATTTAAGCAATGAAGAAATTCTCAGAACACATAAGTTCAATTGAAATTGAGTAAGAAATTATTACTGACACATGAAAATGCATATAAATGTCAGAATATAAATAGAGTAATAGGCTAAGCTTAATATCCAATGAGCATATGAACAGAGATCAGATTCATTCATATATTGACTTGATAATATTCAAAAATAGGATACACAGTACTTGAATTGAGGTAATGTTCAATGCAGTAAATAAATTGACAGTAAAATTAATATTTTCCTTCAAATAAATCTATTGATAGTTACTCCCAGTTGTACAGAGTAATTTAAATTTAATCAATATTGATACTGTAGAAACAATCTTCAATCTCTACTGTGAGCTTATCAACTTGCATGTATTATGCACTGATTAACAAAGGATAATGTGTGCAGTAGATCAATCTTAAATCTTCTTGAATTGTAAAAATAATTAAGAATATGCTTCTTCAGGAAATAAAATAAAATGTAAAATCTTCAATATAAATAGTATCTTGAGGATATAAGTTTCACAGAGAATTCAAGTTATATTCAGTAATTTTTAAAGAGTCAATTTTCAATTTCAATCTTTATGAGTGTTTAACACAAGTTAAATGAAATGGCAGGAAAATTCACTTCAATAAATTTCACTCATTAATAAATGTCAATATAACCTCATTGTTTAAAAATGTAAACAAAGGTAAAAACGGGAAAATGGGGATAATTTTTGATGCAGGGATATTTTTAGATCCTAAGGGATATTCAGGGATTTTTTGGGATTTTCAGGGATTTTTATTGGAGCGGGGATTTTTCTAAAACGTACGGGATAAGTGGGAAAAGTAGGGATATTGATAGTTTGTGCACCAGCGATTGGCAAACCTGTTGGAAATACCGGCAAACTCACGACACTTGTTATCTTGAATGAAAATTCCTGTTCGAGATTGAAATGTTCATAGCTTTACTTTTTGGATGATTAAAATAAAACTGAGTTTCAGTTAAAATGAATTTGATTGAAAAACAATATCCATAGTGAAATAGTTTATAATCCGGCTCGAAGGACCAAATATGTTATGGATTGTTTGAGAATTGAATTTATAGTTGCGTAATTTAATTAGTGGACTGTATTGTATTATGACGTTTGAATAAATTGAGCAGTAAAATGACACATCTGAAACTTGAAAGCAAATAATTAATGAAGTCTTATCTAATAGTAAAATTGAAGTATCACTCACGACCGATCCTTTCTTCTCTGTACGAAGCGTGGTCGGCGGCCTGGAGTGTGGAGGGTAGAATTCTCAGGGGCCCCTTGGTCCAGCGAAGATCATCCTGCCGTAGTGGGGTTGTGGATAACGTCGTTCACGGACACAAAGAGAATCCCGGAGGCGAGACACGATAATTATTTAATTTAAAACCGATCACGGTATAAGAAAGTTCAAGGCACAAACTGGTGCGTGATAAGCGGTAGCGGGCGGGAATGTAGATTGACATTGACATGAAGAAGAGATAAGAGGAAAAAGGAGTAGGTAATGCTACGTCACTGGCAGGATTGCCAACTAGGAAAAGAGGAATGACTAGTAATGAGTCTGTGTTTATGTATGTATGCCAAAATGGGCTGAACTTTAATTAAACTTGATTTTGTCCTTTTTTATTTATTATTATTTACACAACAAATCTCATACAATAATTCGCTTAGCTGTTCATGAAGAAGGGTATCACAATGTTTACTTCAGTGCTGGAAATGAAGAGGATGCTCTTCAAACTTCGGTGGATAAACACACAACACTGACAGCATGGTTTGATTTAAACAATCGAGATCTCAATGCACGTGAATATTTATATGCAGATATTCCACAGCACTACAGGTTTGTTTCAAACAAATGGGTACGTCGTCAAAGATGTGGATCGAAAGTAATAGGCAGATTGTACAACGTAGCGCCAAATGACCCAAACAGATTTTACTTACGTATTTTACTTCTGCATGTTAGGGGAGCTACATCATTTGATGATCTACGATTCTAAAATGGGATGGCATATGATTCTTTTAAAGAAGCTGCAGTTGCAAGGGGACTCCTTCTTGACGATGCAGAGTGGAATCGTTGTTTAGAGGAATTAAAAAATAGTCAAATGCCAAAACAGTTACGATATTTATTCGCATACATTTGTTGTTTCTGTGAGCCAACATCACCATTGATGCTTTGGACTTCTTTTAAAGACAAATTCATAGAGGACTTCCATGAAATGAGTGTAGATGAGGCTGAAAATGCAGCTTTGCAACAAATAGACACCATTCTTAGAGAAAACGGATTCGATTGTGCCAGCCTCAATTTACCAGTACCAAGAAACACAAACCTTTTGATTAATTTTTACAACGTACATGAAGAGTCTGTACGAGGTGCCGAAATGTACTCCAAACTAAATTGTGAACAAAAAACTGTTGTTGATAGAATTCTCAGTGCGATATCAGGTAATA